TAAACCAAGTATTGCACATGCTAGCCAAACTTCTACCACTAAGCTGTGACTCTAGCCCTCACTCCATCTTGTAGCTTTCCTTTTCACATATTATATTGTAATTATCTCTCCATTAATTAATACAATTTTAGTTTATATAACTGCTGTTCTAATATTAAACACTGGAGTTGTTCCTAAGTAAAACTATGCTGAATGTCCTTTGTATATAAATATTGGACTAAATGTTTTATTATCTCTTTTGGATGGTCTTAATCACTCTCCTCTTCCCAGGGACAAATACCCGTATTTTAAAGGAGAGGTTTACTGGCTCCCACTTTAGAAGTTTCAGTCCCTGCATGGTTGGGGGCTCCAGGAAGAAACAGCATGAGGAAGGGCCTGGCATCACATGGCAGCCAGGAAGCAGAAAGAGAAGGGAAGAGTCAAGGAGGGAGATAGACCCTTTCAGGTCATGCCCTCAGTGACCTCCTCTTCTGACCAGGCCCCACCTCCTAACAGCAAGTCCGCTATCGTGATCTTCTAAGCCAGCCATATTCCAAAAGTCCCGACTATGAATGCATGAGGCTTCTGGGGGTCATTCGATATAAACTATAACAAGGATACATTCCCTAAGTAGGCGCCCTGTGTCAAAAGCTATGGGGTATGAACATTTTTAAGATTTCAAATAAAAGCACTGCTAGAATTACTACAGAGTTAAGCCCGGACTTACAAATGAGTTTTGTTTCAGAACATTCGGAAGTCAGATTTATTCGTAAGTCTGACAAAGTGAGTCTTGTATACCTCGGATACAAATATACAATGGATATCATTTTGCACTTCCTAGCAGTCCCCTCCACATCACCACTGTCGTTCCTCTTGCTTCCAGACATCCTGGGCTCTGACTGAGCACTGTCCACTATCGCACTGCACAGTGAGTCCACAGCAGCACAGCTGTGACAATGTCTGGCACACGCGTGAGCCACTGCCATGCTTTGCTTGCTCTGACTGTTCCTAATGTGAGGCCCATTTGTATGCGTCAAGGTTCACAACTCAAATATCCCTAAGTCGGGGTCTTACTGTAGAAACGTGCCAGTTTCACCCCGCACTAGCAGCAGAAGTGTCTCCGTTTCACTCTACCCTTACCTGCACTGAGAATATTTTTTTAAAGTGTGCTTTGCTAAGTATATAGAAAAAAACCCAATTTTCCAAATAACTTATATACTCATACTTTAGCCATTTGTATTTAACTTTACTTAATTTACATTTTATTGGTATGTTTATAGTATACGATTACATTCATTGTAGGGACTTGATTCATGAACACATCTTAATTCTTTTTATGTCTCATTTCCCTCTCCCTGCCCCATCTGTTGATCCTTTTACTATTTGTAAAAGGTCTATCTCTGTGTTTCCCATTAACTTTTATTTTGCTCTCTGTTTATAGTTTGGGTTTTTCATGAGAGAAACTATGTGATATTTAAGTTGTGGGTCTGATTTATTTCATTTGTCATTATGGTCTGAAGGTTCATCTATTTTCCTATAGCCATCTGTACTTTTTTTGTGAATTTTATATTCATGACCTTTGTCTATTTTTCTACTGCTATATTAAATTTCCTTAACTGTAACAATTCTTTTTACAGTCATGTGTTGCCCAATAATGGGAACATATTCTGCGAAATGGATCTTTAAGCTATTTCATCGCTGTGGCATTATCAGAGTAGATTTAAATGGTCTCCAGCTTATTACACACATTAGCTATGTGGTGTGAGTGTATACATATATACATGGGGTATATGATCTCAATACACACAGATGGTAGAGCCCACTGCTCCTAGGGCCACGATGGACAAAGCACAAGACACTGAATGAAGCACAAGAAATGATATACTTAAGAGAGTCAATAAATATGAAATGTAGGAGGCAGTGGCTCACACGGTATGGCATACTGTTTAGTAAACATTTTAGTAAGAAGAACAGACTAAAATAATGATGAAAAGTATATATAATGAATCCATCAACCAGTAACACAGATATTTACTATCAATATCAAGTATTATGTTCTATATATAATTCTATGTGCTGTACATTTATATGACTGGCAGCGCAGGTTTCTTTAAAGCAGCATGACCATAAATATACGAGTAAGAGATTCTGTTGCTGAGCTACAATGGCTACATCTCTAGGCAATATGAATTTTTCAGCTCTATTATATTTTGAGACAACTATTCATATATGTGTTCCATCACTGACCAAAATGTCATTACATGATATTATATTTTAAGGTTAATCCTGTTGCCGTGAAACGTTATCAACTAAGATTACTGTGTTAGTTATTTTTCTCTTGTTGCTGAGACAAAATACCTGATACCCAAAGTTAAAAGGGAAGGGGTTTATTCTGAGTTTTCAGTTCATAGCTGTCTGGTTCCAAGCAGGGATGGCAAACAGGCCTCACATAGGAGAAAAACATGCCATACACAAGGCAGCAAAGGAACAAAAGAGCTTCACCACAACTTTCTGCCTCTTTTCTCCCATCCCAACTACCAGCAGTAGGGTGGTGCTAGTGGTTTAGTAATCACATGCCCTTAATTCCAGGATCACACATTCCAAATTCAGCCACCTTTGACCAAATGAGGCTCTGGGGGGACATCCAGACCCAAACCATAACATTCTACCCCTGTTCTCCCAAAGACTCATGTACATTCCTTTATACAATAGGCATTTAGTCCATCTTTAAGAGTTACCGAAGTCCTAACAGTTTCAGCATTGCTGAAAAGTCCAAAGTCTAAAGTCTCTTCTGAGATTTAAGGCAAACTCTTAGCTGCAAACCAAATGAAAGAAAGTTAAACACTTTCAACATTCAACGGCACAAGATAGACATTACTAATCCAAAGGTACAGATAGGGGGATACAACGGAACGGGACCAAGGCAAGTCCAAAATCCAGCAGGGAAAATATTAAATCCCACAGTTCCACTTCCAGCATCTGAGACCATCTGTGTCATGTTGTGAATTTCAAGGGCTTGGGTGGCTCTGCCCCTAAGGCACTTCTAGTGGTTGTAGCTCCCACGGCTTCTCTCTTGGGCCAGCTCTGCTCCCTCCTTGTAGTTTTCTTCAGGCAATCCACACTCCTGGCTTCTCCAAACTTCTGGGGTCTCCATGGTACTTTCAGCTTCACACTCACATTTTCACACACTTCCCTCTCAGGGGCACACTCAGTGGCCTCCAGGCCTTCTTCTGATGTCTAGGTGGAAGCCTTCCTGACCCAACTATTCCATTCTGCACGTGGCTAAAACCAGAGCCATGTGGATGATACCAAGATCTGCTGTCTCTCTTGGTTATAGGGACTGAGTGCCTAGATTGCTGAGCATTCTGAATCCAATCCTGAGGAACAAATTCTCTAGGCTGTCACCATTCTGGAACATAGTGTGGCTGCCGCCATTTTAGAACCTGGTGCTCTGGGGCTTTCGTCTCAAAGCAAATTCATTCACCTTTTCAACTCTGAGGCTGCAAAGGGTGGAGTCCTGCTGTTTCCTGTAATGCCCTCAAGCCATCTTTTCTATTTTCCTGTTTCTGCTCAGCAATCAAGGTCTTTTCTGCTCAATCTTTGCAGTCCACAGCTTTACTGGGGCTTCCTTTCTGGCTAAACTCAAAGCATTTTAAATCATTCTGCTGGGCTCTTTGCTCTTGATTCTCAACATAGATCTGGCTAAAAGCCCCCATTAGTAGCCAGCTGCCTCAATATTTGACTGCTTTGAATCTTCCTCTGCAAGACTAATTAGTCCACTCCTCCTAATCTCAGTCTCAGGCAAAGTCTCTGGCCATGAGCAAAATGCAAACAAACTTTCAGCCAAGCCATAACACATATCATCTGGAGTCCAGCAGCCAATGCAGTCCCTCTTTCTTGCAGAAACTTCCTGAGCCTGGTCTTTTACCAGCCTTCTGAGCTCTGACCAGAATCTCCCATACAGAATAGCCTAAGGTGTTCCAGACCTACCTCTGTAGCTGACATCTCCAAGTCTTTCCTAACTCTTCCCTTTCCCACAAGCCAGCTTCAAAAGTGCTTGAGCCATATGGCCAGGTAATGCCACAGCAACAACCCCACTCCTGGAACCAAATTTCTGTGTTAGTTACCCTTCTCTTGTTGCTGAGACAAAATACCAAACACCCAAAGTTAAAAGGGAAGGGGTTTATCTGGCTTACAATTTGTAGAGTTTTCAGTCTATATTTGGGTGGTTCTAAGAGAGGGATGACAAACAGACCTCACAGAGGAGAAACAACACGGTGCACACAAAAGGTAGCAAAGGCAACAAGAGAGCTTCACCACATCTTCCTGCCTCTTTTATCCCATCTAGACTACTGAGATTAGGGCAGTGCTAAACCACTCACTCATATGTAATGGTTTAGTAATCACATGCCCTTAACCCCAGCATCACTCATTCCAGATTCAGCTACCTTTGACCAAATGAGGCTTTGGGGGAACATCCAGACCCAAACCACAAATATACTCTGCAAATATTAGTTTGGGTGTGGTGTCTGACTTTTCCTTTAGCTCAGTAACTTCCTTCCAGGAAAAAAAAAATCCAATCTTAATAAAGTATAAGATAAGTCCCACTAAATATTGAGTCTAGGGTGTTATCAAAAGCCTATATACTCCATACTCTAACTTTATGTTAGACAATTCTTAGAAGGTGTTTCTTTCAAATTCTTTCAAAGGTATTTTCAAATGAGTTTCAAGGATGGACTTACATAAGAGACTAGTGATGTGTAGCTCAGCCATTAGACAGCTACCATGCTATTACTTAATAAAACCCTCTTCTTTCATCTGTCAGTGTCTATTTCTGTGGTAGAATTCTGTGTCAGCTTTCTTCACTGTGACAAGATACATGGAAAATCAACTTAAAGGAGGAAGAATATTTAGTCCAATTGCTTAGCCCTGTTGCCTTTGGGCCTATGGTGAGGCAGTGCACCATGGTGAGGAATGTACTGTCAAAGAGTCAGCCAGGAAACAAAAAAGAAAGAGGCCAGGGTTCCAATCCCCCCAAGGGCACACCCACAAGGATCTAAATCCTTCCAGTAGGCCCTACCTTGTAAAGTTTCCACCACCTTCCCATAGTACCACAAACCTTTTAGCCTTGGGAAACACTTAAAATCCAATCATAACCGGGCCAGGGATTTAGCTCAGTTCGGTGGCCTGCCTTGCAAGCACAAGGACCCGAGTTCAATCCCCGGCACCAAAAAAAAAAAAAAATCCAATCATAACCAATCCATATCAGTAACTTTCTGTTTTTAATAAGTTCCTTTATTATAAAATGTAATTTAAAATATTTTTCATTTTTCTTTGCACAATTTTAACATTATAGCAATTTTCTGTGGAAAATAAAATTCTGCCTTGTAGGAAAGAAAAAAATCCCTCAAAACCATGGACTGATGTCTTTATTTACATATTAGAGCGGGTGAGCCAGTGAAAATCCTACAGAAAGAAAAGACAATATTCAGTCAGAAGAAACAATTGTCTCAACCTAAATCCTCACTGTTTTGCTTATTCTAAAATTTAAAAGTACCACATGATGGTGGTAAAATGAGGTTTGTCTTTGGTCTAGTGCTTTTCATAAAAAAAAAAAAAAAAAAAAAAAATTAGAAATTCATTAGTGAACCTTGGTTTCCTTGTCCTAAAAATAACCTAAAATGGTTTTCTGTGTCCTCTTCCACTAGGGTAATCTGGGCATGCAGGCACACACATGTGCACACATGTATGCACACGCACACACACACACACACACACACAATCTGAAAGAACCAGAGATACTGTACCCTGAAAAGGAGAGGGGATAAAAAGACCCACAGAGCACTGAACTCCTAGGTCTGAGAAGAACATATCTAAGAACTATGCATTATCTGTGCCTTTTTCAGGACTAACAGTATCCTGCACTTGTGGCCCAGATACAGACTCTTACAGAAAATTAGCACTATCTGTATTAAAGCAACAAGTAGCCAGATCACACCATGAATCAAAAACAAAAGGCTGAGAGTCAGTGAAAAACAATAGCTTGGAAACTATAATGTGTATAGAATTCCACTCAAATGAAAATAATGTTGAAGTTATTAAATGCAAGAAATATAAAGATAATCCTCACAGAATTATAAAGGAGGAGGGAAAGACCTTATATTTCTCCAGATATACTAAAACAAAATTCACAGAGTAACTACAAACAGATCATTGAGGGCATATCATTAGAACAGAGAACTCCTTGGCAGAGAGGGGGCAATGCACGGGTCTGTTCTGTGACTAACACAGGTCTCAACACTTTTAATTATAGTATTGGTCAAGGTTCTGATAGTGTCTTTCTGTTTTGCTTTTGAAGCAAAACATTTATCAGTACATTTTAGATATACATAATGATAACACTTACCATAGGATCTGATAGTACCTTTAGTTTCCTTAGTACCCTGATACCCTCATACCAGGAAGAGGGCATCCTGGATTACAAAAATAATATTCCTTCAATGGAAAGTTTATACTTGGTAATAAATTAACAAAATGACATGGGATTTAATAAGCCTGATTATTAGTTATCTGGCAAAAGTCATTTCAACAAATAAAGATTAAAATAGGAAAAGACAAGGGACAGAATATATCTCAGAGGTAGAGCATGTGCTTAGCATGAGCATGAGCAGTACAAAAAAAGAAAGGCAAGCAAAAAGCCCAAAGCTATACAGAGTAGCCTTCAAATCTTGCTAACTCTATTTTAAATCAGGCTGCCTGTTTACTCCACAGAGATCCTTGCTAATGCCACATGCCCATCTCCTTTCTGGCCTAGTCCTTCTGCACCCATCCTGCTCATCACCAGGGTTCACCTTCACTATCCCTTCTCTCAGCTATGACATGAATTTCAAAGTCTTTGATCTCTATTTTTACATAAAACTTCAAAAGAATTCTATATATTTTGCAACTTCCAAATTACTCCATATTTTATTGATTGTCTAGAGGTCTGTTCATTCCCTGCCTTGTTAAATAAAAAAAAAAAAAGATTCCACAGTGGATACATGTCTAAGAACCAAGACAGAAAGCTTCTGCACTTCTCTCCTCTTTGCCAAGTGGCTCCCATTCATCCTTCAGATCTCAGTTTAAGCATCACTTCCTCTGAGAGGGCTTCTCTCCAACCCAAATATAAGTTGGATTTTTTTGTTGTATGTTTGCTTATAAATGCCCCTTCCTTTCAAGCAGTTATCTTACTCTGTTATGCAGCTCCACTGTCCCTCCCACTACTGAACTCTAAGCTCCATGGAGGTGAGGAGCCTGGTTTAGCTCTGCAGTCTATCCCTAATACAGTATATCTAACACTATCTCAGCAAATACTCACTGAATGAGCAAATGCAACTGCCAAACTCAGAAATGATTTAGAAAGAATTCTGTGGTCACAAGGGTTTTCCTTTCTAGAGGGAAATGGGGAATGCTCAGTAACTGCATTTACCTGGGCCTTACGTGTGCCTTGTGGCTCAATCATGATATTGATAAGAGAAGGTTTAGTTGTGTCTTCCAAGGTCTGCTTCAGGGATTTTTGTAGTTCTTCTGGTGTTTGTACAAAATACCCTTTGCCTCCAAATGCAGTCATGACCTGCTCATAATGTGAGTTTGGCAGGAGACAAATTGGAGGAGCCCTGAAAAAGAGGGTTCTAAATCAATGAAATTTAAATTTTAAAGCTTTAAGGAAAAGATCATTCTCTGAAATGATTTGTGAAAATAATTGAGATAAAACATATACTTTTATCCTTAATACTTAAGCTGAGATGCCAGTACACTAAATTTTCCCTATATTTTTAATTGTCTATAAAGAAATGTCCAGAAACTTTGTGATGATGGAAATGTTTTATATTCAGTATGGCAGCCATGAGCTACCTATTACTATGAGCACTTGAAGTGTGACTAAACTGAGGGACTGAACTTTTAATTTAATTTAATTCAATTGAAACTAAATTTAATTAGCAATAGGGGCCGGGGATGTAGCTCAGTGGTGCCACTGCCTGCCTCATAAGCGAAAAGTTCCAAGTTCAATCCCTGGTACCAAAAATAAAAATAAAAATAAAGTTAAATTAGCAATGGGTATCTAGTGGCCACCACACTATGAACAATTATGAATCATAAAGAAAAAGGAAAGGGTATTATAAAACAGCAATGAAAAAGCACAAGAAGCAAAGGAGGCAAAAATACACACAGCTGCCCTGGCCTACCCTAGGCCAGCTCACAAATCCACATTTGTCTTATAGCCCCTGGCCAGCTATCATACAGTCTTAGTTCAGCTCTGCTATCAGATAACCAAGATTTAGCTAGTTGGTAAAACAAAGAGCTCTGGATCATAAAAAAAAATGTAAACATTCATATTCCTTTGTACTGTACAGGAATAATAGAGCTGGGGTCCTTATGCAATAAGTCCTGTCATTAATAAGGCTCAGACATCATACTCAGTGGCTCCCTGATCATAAACTACTTGTGAAGCACGTAATCATGGAAAGTTGCGCAAAGAACCATTAAGAGGATTCATGCCCTTCAAAGGGACTGACAGCAGAAGCAACCATACTCACACTGAGTAGTCACATTCTAATACAGCAACTTTTAAAAAACACATGATTAAAACATATGAGAGAAATTAAATATACATTGTTCCAGGTTACTTACACTGTGACAGCATCTTGAAATTTTACCATTTCTTTCCAAGTAGCTGCATCAAAACCTTGGTAAATTCCATTATTGTTCACCACCAAGACAATGATTGGCAAGTTGTACCTAAGAGTAAGAACAAAATATGAAGAAAATCTTTCTTCATTCTACAGTACTTTCTTTCGATAGGCTGAAATTTTAACTGAAAAAGTTTTCTGTATACTTTTTTTTTTAATATTGACCTGAGCCAGACAACATACTGATGAGTGAATCAGCTGGTAAGGTGGATCAGGACTTGACATTCACACAGCAAAAAGGGAATGGGGGGCCGGGGATTTAGCTCAGCGGTTCGGTGGCCTGCCTTGCAAGTGCAAGGACCCAAGTTCAATCCCCGGTACCAAAAAAAAAAAAAGGGAATGGAAAAGCTCAACAGGCCCAACTGTGATTCACTATGCTTCCCTCATAACTGGTAGACTCCAGTACTATAGATCTTCAAAAAACTACCCACTCAAACACCTCAGTGGGTAAGAATTTTTTGGGCTCATTTCTTTTTCTTTTAAAAATTTTATGTACTCTTCTTCTCCTTTTCCTTTTCTTTTCTGATACTTTTACTGAATTCCATTTATGTTTTATTCTTTAATTGGATTTTTTTTTTCCAGTAATGGGGATCGAACTCATGACCTTGCGCTTGTCAGGCAGGAGCAGTGGCAAGGGGCTATATCCCCAGCCCTTTAATTTGATTTTTAATCTTACTTTTCTCCCTTCCTCATATTATCTTTTCAAATTTTATTACTTCTAATTTTTGTATTCTTTGCCCTCTCCATCTTTTTTTGTTTGTTTGTTTTTTGAGACAGGGTCTCACTATGTAGTTCAGACTACCCTGGAACTCACTGTGTAGCCCAGGCTGGTCTCGAACTCACAGCGATCCTCCTGCCTCAGCCTCCCGAGTGCTGGGATTACAGGCGTGCACCACCACGCCCAGCCCCTCCATTTTTTAATAATACTACCAACTTATATTTATTTTTAGCTATTTAGTTTACTCTATGCTATCACTGCTTATGTTTTCCTATTGTTAAAAGTGGCATAGTTGTAACTTTTATGTCAATATTTGGTTGTCTTTGTGTCTACATTATTATTGCTGGTCTCTTCTATTGTTAAGGGTGTATACTTGTTGCTTTTTACAATATGTCAATATCTAGTTTGTCTTTGAATCTCTATTATTAATGCTGAATTCTATTGTTAATGATGACATAGTTTTTTTTTTTTTTTGATTGTTTGCTTTTTTTGAGACAAGGTCTTGCTATGTAGTTCAGGCCGACCTTAAACTCATATGAAGCACCAGCTGGCCATGAACTCACAGTGATCCTCCTACCTCAGTCTCCCACTACTGGGTTTACAAGCATGCACCACCAAGTCTAACAGTTGTTACTTTTAATTTGTTTTCACTGTGTGTCAATATCTGGCTGGTCTTTGTGTTGCTGACTGTTACTGTGATTTGTTTTCTCCCGAGTGATGCTGGGAATTAAGCCCCCAAAATAAGGCTGAAAATTAAGAGGATCTTCAAATTACAGTGGAACGGATACTCATCCCAACAAATGCATGAATCTCAATGTAGAAATGCAAGATGTATGAAAAAAATAAGGCAACGCGACTCCTCCATATTTCTAATTCATCAGTAACTGAATACAAAAATAATAAAGTAAGTAAAATACCAATGAATTCAAAAGACTAATTTATAAGATGGTTAATGACTTCAAATAAACATATACAAATACATATACAGCTACATATACATATACATAAAAACATATACAGCTAAATAAATTATGGAAGACATGCAGAAAATGAAAGAGCGATTCAACAAAGAGAGACTCTGAGGCAGAACCAAACAGAATTTCTGAGTCCAGGCAGAGTAGTGCATGCCTGTAATCCAGCACTCAGGAGGGAGAAGGATTACTGCAAGTTCAAATCCAGCCTGGGCAACATAGTGAGTTCAGGGCCAGACTGCACTACAAAGCGAGACCCTAGCTCAAAAGACAAAAAACAAACAACCAAAAAAACAAGAGCAGATATTCTAGACATGAAAATCACAGAATGTCAATTTAAAAAAACTTAGTGAAAGTCTCACCAATAGACACAACCTGGCAGAAAACAGAATTTCAGGCTTGAAGATAATGCTGAAGAACTATTATATGTAAGACATTAAGAAAGACCCCCATCCCCAAAAATTATAAACAAAACATCCAAGAATCAGCTGGTAAAAGCTGAGTTGGGACATTGTAAAGACTAAATTTCATAAATTTTTGGTGTAGAAGAGGGTACCAAGGTTCAGGCTAATCTATTTAATGAAATAAATAGGAGAAAACTTTACAAATCTTGGGAAAGATATAGACATCCATGTACAAGTTGCATTGGGACACCACATGCCTGACCAGAAAAGAATCTCCCATGTCATGTTATAGTTTGTACAAGAGCACACAAGAAAGAAAAACTTCAGACTTTTCCAGAGACCCTACAGGCCAGGAGGGAAAGAAACAATGTATTTCAAGTCCTGAAAGAAAATAACTGCAAAGACAGAAATTATATCCAGCAAAGCTATCCTTCAAAATTGAAGGATAAATAAAGACCTTCCAAGATAAGCATAAACCAAACACTTTCATGACCACTAAGCTACAACTGCAGAAAATACTCTAAGGGATAATACAACACAGAAAAGGAAGAAGAGACAAGCCATTGAGAATTAGGAAAGAATCAAACATTAGAAAAACAACAAAATGACAGGAATTAGTACATATCTTTCAAATAGCTCTGAATATAAATGATCATAATTCTCTAACTAAAAGACATAGGCTGGCAGGTTGGATTAAAAAACAAGACCTAGGGCTGGGGATTTAGCTCAGTGGTTCGGTGGCCTGCCTTGCAAGCACAAGGACCTGAGTTCAATCCCCGGTACCAAAAAAAAAACAACAACAAAAAAACAAAAAAACAAGACCTAATTCTATTGCTTGTGAAACATATTCCACTAGCAAAAACATATACAAAGTGAAAGAATGGGAAAAACTATTCTATGCAAATGGAACCTGAAAGCAAGCAGTAGTAGCTATGTTCATATATGAAAAACAGACTTGAAGACAAAATTAGATGAGACAAAGACCACTATATATTAGTAAAGGGAACAATCCATCAAGAACATATAATAATTTAAAGTATATATGCACCAAATATTGGTGTACCCAACTTCATAAAACAAATATTACTCAACCTAAAGGAACATGTAAGTCTTAATGCAAAAATAGTGGGTGACTTTAATACTCCACTCTTTCCAATAGATAGATCATCCAGACAAATATCAACACAAAAACATCAGAGTTAAACTACACCATAAACCAAACAGAAATCTACAGAACATTCTATCCAACAACTACAGAATACATATTCATCTCAGCTGCTCATAGAATATTCTTCAAAACAGATCAGATTTTAGGATATAAAGCAATGCTTAACAAATTTAAAAAACTGTAATAATTTCTTGCATCTTATCAGATCATGATAGAAACTAGAAAAAAAACAGTAAGAAAAACTATAGAAACTATACAAATACATGGAGATTAAACAATTCACTTTTGATCAATGGGTCACTGAAGAAATCAGGGAAAGAAATTTAAAAATTCCTGGAATCAAATGAAAATAGAAATACAACATACCAGAATCTCTGGAGTATAGTAAAGGTAATTCTGAGAAGGAATTTTATAGTACTGAGTGCCTACATCAAAAAAATCAGGGCCAACAGACATGGTGGCACACGCCTGTAATCCCAGCACTTGGGAGGCTGAGGCAGAAGGATCACTGAGAGTTCAAGACCAGCCTGGGCTACAGAGTGAGTTTCAGGTCAGTCTCAACTACATGGTGAGACCCTGTCTCAAAAAAATAAGTAAGGGCTGGGAATTTAGCTCAATGGTTCCACCACCTGCCTCAAAAGCACAAGGTCCTGAGTTCGATTCCTCCGGGAAAAAAAAAAAAAAAAAAAAAGAAAGAAAAAGAAAAAGAAAAAAAAAAACAAAAAAACAAAAAAACAGAGAAATTCCAAACAACTCAATGATACACCTAAATCTGGAAAAGCAAGAACAAACCAAAACCAAACCCAATAGAAAGGAAGAAATAATAAAGACCAGAGATAGAGACTAAAAGAATAATACACAAGATCAATGAAACAAAGTTATTTCTTTGTAAAGATAAACAAGATTGATAAGTTCATAGCCAAACTAACTGAAAGAAAGAGAGAAGACCCAAATTCAAACAATTAAGAGGTGAAAAGGGCGATGTTACAACAGATACCACTGAAATCCAGAAAATTATTGGGATTATTTTGAAAATCTATAAATTGGAGAATCTAGAAGAAATGGGTAGATTTTAGACACATAAGACCTATGAAAACTCAACCAATGGGGATATTAAAAAACTAAACAGATCAATAATAAGCAATAAGATTGGAACAGTAATAAAAGTCTCTCAACAAAGAAAAGCCTAGGGTCAGTTGATTCACTGTTTCATTTTATCAGACCTTTCAGAAAAAATAACACCAATGCTCCTCAAACTAAAAGGAAGGAATGTTTCCAAACTCATTCTACAAGGGCAATACTAACATGATAGCAAAACAGGACAAGGACACAATAAAAAATATCCATAATGAACATAGATGGAAAGATCCTTAATAAAATGCCTGCAATCTGCTACAGCTTATATTTAGATGTTCAAAAAGTTTCATGCATTCATAGATGGGGTTTTTGGGAGTGGCTAGATCATGGATATGTGATACAGGATTATAGGTTTCATTAAATGGATTAGTCCACTGATTGGTTTGGCATAGTTCTGAATGTAAATGATGGGAAAGCCCACCCTGGGTGTGGATGGTATCAATGAATAGGCTTATAGCCCAAACAGAATAAAAAGAGAAAGGAAGGCTTTCTACTACTGTCTCCTGCCTACAAACCATGAACTATTTCACCTCTGTTATGCCCCTCTGCCAGCATGCTGCCTTGCCTTGGAGCCAGCTGACTACATACAGAAACCTCTACAAACTGTGAACTAAAACTTTTCCTCCATTAATTTGTGGGTGCCAGGTATTCTGTCCCAGCAATGAGAAAGTAATTAAGACAAACCAAATTCAACAACATTATTAAAAAGATCATACACCATGATCAAGTTGACTTCATTCTAGAGATGCAAGGATAGTTCACCATATGCAAATCATTAAATGCAATATACTGTTACTTACAGAATCAAAGATAAAAATCACGTGATCATCTCAAGTGACACAGAAAAGGCCTTTGACAAAATTCAACAGCTCTGAAAAGCACCAAAGAAACTAGGTTTTGAAGGCTCATTCCTCAATATAGTAAAGACCACATACACCAATCAGAAGGGGGAAAACTGAAAGCACTTCCTCTAAGATCAGGAACAAACCAAGGATGCCCATTGTTACCCCTCTTTTCAATATAGTTCTTAAAATCTTAACTATAGCAATTAGGCAAGAGGAAGCAATAAAAGGAATAAAAATAGAAAGGGAAGAAGTCAAATTATCCTTGTTTGCAGATAATATGATCTTATACTTAGAAAACCCTAAAGATTCCACCAAATGACTTTTAGAAATGATAAATTCAGAAAAGTAGCACGATATAAAAACCAACATTAAAAAAAATCAATGGCTTTTCTATAAACCAGTAACAAACTAGATGAAAAAGAACATAGCAAAACAATGCCATTCACAATAGCTTTAAAAAAATACCAATGGATCAGCCTAACCAAGGAGGTGAAAGACCCCTACAATGAAAATTTCAGAACACTGAAGAAAAAAATTAAAGAGACTAGAAGGTGGAAAGATCTTATATGTTCACGGATTGGCAGAATCCATATTGCCAAAACCAATCTACAGATTTAATGCAATTCCCATCAAAATATCAAGGACATTCTTCACAGAACTGGAAAAAAACAATCCTAAAATTCATAGGGAAATACAAAAGACCCAGATCACCAAAGCAATTCTAGGTGCGAGGTCCTGAGTTTGATCCCTGGTAATGGGGGGTGGGGGGAAATCAATCCTGAATGCATCAAACACCTAGGTTTAAGACCTGAAACTTTGAAACTGTTAAAAGGAAAACAAAACACAAAAACATAGGGGAAACAACTGAAACCAAAGGCACAGGGAAAGACTTCCTGAAACTATTAAAGATGGGAGAGGAGCTCCAGGATCCTTTTTGTTTGTCTGCCTCATTCTCCACAGTACTTTTCTTCCATCTTCAGGGTCACTTTGTGGTAGTTACAATGATTGCTGAAACTCCAATTACCATGGTACAGAAAGAAGGAGGGAGACTCTTGCCAGCTCCAATGGCTTTCTCAAAATTCTGTCTCAATACCTTCATTTAGTATATGTACTGCCAAAGCAAGCACTCAAGACCTCCATTTAAACTGTTTTGACTTCTTTAACTAATGGCACTGGGAAAACTTGATGTCCATATGTAGGAATGAAATTAGGTCTCTTACCTTGTACAAAAAAAATCAATTCAAAATAGATCAAAGACCTATGTATAAGCCCTGAAACTTTGAAAGTGTAAAATGAAAGCACAGGGGAAACACTTGAAGACATAGGTACAAGCAAAAACCTCCACAACACAGGAGACAATAGCAAGAATCAACAAATGGAACTAAATGAAATTAAAAAATTTCTGTACAGCAAGGAAATGATCAAAGAATAAAGAGATAAACTACAGAATGAAAGAAAATATCTGTCAGCAACTTTTCTGGCAGAGAATTAATATCTAAAATATATAAAGAACTCAAAAAACTTAACACCAAGAAGTCAAATAGCCCAATCAAAAAATGGGCAAAGAACTGAACAAATTCTTCTCAAGAGAAGTACAAATGACCAATAAATATGTTTAAAAAATTCAACATCTTTAACCATTAGAAAATGCAAGTAAAAACTACACTGAGATTCCATTTCTCTCCAGTCAGAATGGCTGTCATCAAGAATATGAAAAAAAAAAAATGATGGCAAAGATGCAGGAAAAGAAGGAACCCTTCTACTCTGCTGGTATGAATGTAAATTAGTATAGTCACTATGTAAATCAATATGGAGGGTCCTCAGAAACTAAAAATAGAACTACCATTGATCCAACTACACCATTCCTTGGTATGTACCTGAAGGAGTTAAAGTCAGCTTATCATGTGGATACCTGCATACCCATATTTATTGCATCACAATTTACAATAACCAAAATATGAAACCAGACTAGGTATCTATCATGAATGGATAAAGAAAATGCAATATATAATACATATATACATATATGGAGAGAGATTAACACATTTATATCAGAATATCATTCAACCATGAAAAATTCTGTCATTTGCAGAAAAAAAATGGATCTATATATCATGTTAAATAAAAAAATGCCAGACTCAGAAAGGCAAATATTGCATATTCTACTTAATATGTGTAATCCAGAAAACGTGACAAGAAAGGAGGGAGATTATGATTAGACAAGAAGAAAGGAAGACGGGAGGAGAGAGGATGTTTAAGGCCAATCAACAGGGGAAGAAGTATGATAAAAATACATTATTTTTACCCTCAATGCGAAACTGGTTTGGGAGAGTGGGGCAAGGGAGATGACTGGGGGGAGTGTAAAGTGCATGTACAAATCTACCAAAATGAAATACATTAATCTGTATAATCACTATACACTAAAAAAAATATGGGAGAAAAACAGAAACAGCATAACAACTAAGAACAAAGAAAGGGCAGAAACCAGCAAGACTGAAGAGCCTCAGTGGAAAATATTCCAGTTTTTTGGAGGGGGAGAATTGGTTTACACTGATCTAGTATGATTCAGATTTCTACACCACAACTCAATCAACTCTGGCTCACAAATAACATAAATATGGTTGTGAAGACCATATTTTGATTATTGGAATGCTGCCAGAGTAAGACAAATGATTGCATACAATCTACTACCAGTATGACCCCATTTTTGTTGAGGACACCTGCAGACACCTGTGTGTGTTGCATGGCGATGGAATAATGAATGATCTCTCTTTTAAAAAAAATTCAGCAACAGACACATCATGGAGTTGTAGAAAGAATACATGATTAGGAGGTGGTAGGCTTGCGTCTTTACCATTATTTAGCTTTGAACCCTGGGCAAATCACTAACCTTTTCTTGGTCCTGGTTTTCATAGACCCAGGTGGTGTTAAGAGAAACACTTTCCCTACTTATACCCTTGGAAGCACTACTTCTAAATGGTTCTGAAGAACACTGTTTGAAAGCATCTTTCTATTTACTGAGCTTCTCACAGATAACGAGCCTGTGCTGAATGCTGTGTGAGCCACAAACATGAATTCAGTCCATGCTCAAACCACGGCACCTAATGTCATCAGTAGGGAAAGGGGTATGCATCAATGTCCTAAACAGCACGGCAAAGACAACAACAAAAAATGGCTGATTAAACTTTACTAATGACTGAGCAAGAATGTGGCTTTTATTTTGTACAGCTGCAATTTCTGAGGGCAGGTGAAAAGACAAACTAAACTGCATATTGTTAAATAACAGAGTTTTGGTAACTATTTGCTCTCTATGCTAAAAGTGAGTCATTACTCTGACATCCCAACAGGCAATATTTCCCCTTGATCCTGAAATTTTTATATAGCTTTGAAAGCCCCAAATCATGATTCACAAAAGCACTAAAAAGAGCTCTGACCAAAAATAGATCAGCTTTTTACTATGATTCAAATATAGTTAAGGGAAAAATGCCCCTATCATTCTACAGTAGCAGCCTTAACTCATGAGTTTCCTCATGAACCTTATAGCTACAAATAAAATCTGAATGGCACACTCTCACTGAGTATCACTTCAAAATTTACCTTGATTCATTTGTTCTCACTACCACCTTCTAAGGTAGGAACTGCCACTCTTCCTGTTTTATATGAAGGGGGTTGAGGCTTGGTTAAATGACTTAAGTAAAAGCTTTGGCCTCTGACATAGTAGAACCAGTATTTAAATGCAGGCCACTTTTTCTAAAAGTCTATTTCCCTGTAGAGGACAAGCTTCTCTCAAACCGAAACTTTTTTCCCCTTGACCTTAAAATTACTCCCTACAGTTTTGCAGGTTTCTAGTATGCAGTGAGGAGGCCACGAACAGTGTCCTGGAGGAGAATGACCAGGGGTCATTACAGAGATCCTTCAGGACACGGTACAGTTCTCTTCAGAGGGCACCTGGCACATGCTGTATGCCTGGTAGCTATTTGTTAGGTGAGCGTTTCACATTAGGAGAACAAAAATGCTCTGATTTCGGATTCTGTTTTACCTGCAGATGGTTTCCATTTCCATGCCAGAAAACCCAAATGCACTGTCTCCTTCCACACAGATGACCCGCTGCCCGGGGTTTCTATCTTTAGCCACCAGAGCAGCTGCAATGGCAAATCCCAAACCAACTCCCATTGTTCCAAAAGTACCAGCATCAAGCCTGTTGGGGAACAAAGCTAAAATAAAACTCTCAAGGTCATGTCACAGAAGGTAGGGATGGCACAAATCTTCTAGTCATATTTACATTACCAGGGTTTGTGGAAAAGGAAAGACATGTTAAGAAATTCTCTAAACTTTTTAGACTGCAAAGAACTAATTCATTAAGAATTAGCAGTGTAAAGGGAAAAAGCCACTCATGAATATTTGGAAGGCTGTATACGTGTGCTTAGAACTCTTACTATACAATGATGCCAAGGACATATCAACAAAAACTACAAAACTTCATCTATTTATGAAATATGTCCTTACATACCAAATGTGTAGAGAGTTATTAAATATTTTCTTATTCTACATTATTAGCACTTCAAATTAAACACAGTTAGTTCTAATTCTCTTCTTGCAAGTCTTACCTGTGACGAGGAAGGTAGTTTTGAAGCACAGTGCGTCCAATGTCCATGGTATTAGCTCCTTCACTTACCACAAAACAGTCTTTGGGCAACTGTTCTTGAACATGGTAGAACACTGTATAATAATTCATAGGCAGAGATGTTTTGGAAGCTAATTCCTGAAACAGAGTGGAACAATGAAAAAACAAAAGTCAATAAGCTACCATCAAGCCTGTTTGGAAATAGCTAGGCAACAACTTTAAGTTACAAGACTCCCAGATGTCTGTCCAACAGCTACTCTGAGAAACTAGTTGACCATAATCATGGGGGATATACGAAGAAAAAATATGTCCCATCATTTCACCTTGGGACACAGAAAACTGAACCCAGCTGGACCAAGATACATAGGAATATGCATAATAGCAAAAACTCAGAAACAACCTATCTCACAACCAAAAAAAAAGTGAGGTTAATTTATCAATTGATAGATCTATCTCAAGATTTTTATTTTATTTTATTTTTTGGTATCGGGATCGAACCCAGGACCTTGCACTTGCGAGGCAAGCAGTGGAACCACTGAGCTAAATCCCCGGCCCCAATAAGTGATTTTTTTTTTTTTTTGGTACCAGGAATCAAACTCAAGCCCTTGTGCTTGCAAGGCAGGCAGCGAAACCTCTCAGCTAAATCCCCAGACCCTATCTCAAGATTTTAAACAGAAGGCATCAAACCCTGTAGAAACGACTCATTTTAATGATAGCAATGAATAGTTTGGTGGTTTAAGAAGTTGTTACAATTTCCAAACTCTTCACTATCAAGCAAAGCCATAGTCCAGCTGAGAAAACCACAAAAGAAACTCTAGCAGCAATATAAGAATAAAATGAAAAGGATCACCCATTGGGTCAAATTTTAAATTTTTAAAAATTTGATGAAATAGCTATTTATTATACCTGCATGCCTTGAAGGATCCGTAACTTAAAGGCAAAAAACCATGCTCCAACATGTCCCATGATTTAAGGTCTAAAAGATTACCTAATTGTGATGTTCTGTGCCACAAACTGAGGACAAAAGTCACATCCATATTGCAGTAACACATAAGCTGTTAACTCTCCTGATACCCAGTTAAAAAGTTTTTTTCTGGCATTTTTCAAGGTAAAATTTATTGTAATATTTATTTTTCTTAATCATTTAACATGATTATTTACTACTTTTACTAGATTCCTATCGTATTTAGTTTTTGAGTTCTGTACCTAAGCCCTTTTCCTGAGCTGTGCAGTTTCTATTGCACCAGTTTGCACAGCACAGTGCATTATGGCAGAACTAAGTGAATCACGAACTTCAGCGGTTCCAACATTACCTTGGACGCAGCTTCATTGCTCTTCATTTTTTCTCTCAAACTTTTCCACCACTTGCTTTCTGGAGGATACTGCCATGGTGTTTTATCAAATTGTTCTAAAAGCTTAAGAAAAAGCATAAGCCTTTGAAAATAAACTTATATTACATTAATATAAAAAAATCTCTTCTAAATAAACGACATTGCTCATACTCTGCTTTTCCTCTAGGAAGCAATAACAGAGAAGATAAATGGGTAATGTGGTAAGCCTGTTTGGATCAGTGTAGATTTCTGTCAAATGTTGGCATTCCTGTAACAGAGACTAAAGGGTTACCTCCTCCACATCTGACAGACAGAGGTCCTTAAGTCCTCCTCAGTCCTTTGACACTAAGGAAGGAAACATACCCCTCCATGCAACCTTTATAGGAAGCCTAACAAATAGCTATAGCGTCTTTGACATAGACCCTGTACTCTAGAGTGAGTTCATGTATTATTAAAATCTGCCTCTTAGTTTCATGTACTTATAATATAAAACACCCAAAATCAAGGGACAGATGTGACTATATTCTATCGCTGGTCACAATTCAATACATAAATTATGTATAAAGAATAAGATGGACAAATCACTGATTATAGTTTGAAGAGTAAAGAGCTCTTAAAAATACTAACTAGATTTTTCCAGTGTGTAAGCCATTTCTTGGGTATACATTCAATGCCTTTGGAAGTTGTATTTTAATTTTTTGATAGCTACATTTTACCTAGTAAATCACTGTTTCCTTACTAAAGAATTTAAAATTTTCAAAGTGCCTTCCAAAAATGCTTCATTTATATAAGCATGTATAAGAACTTAGATTTACCAAGTTGCAAAGTTATATTAGTTTTCCAAATTGATCAAGATGCAGAATGTACATGTACTAAGGTACAAAGATGATTATAATTATGTATCACAAACATATACTAAAAATAAGAGGAGCTTTCCATCATAAATCTTGTTTTAAAATAGGTATTACTAGACAAACATTTTCAAGAACTGACTGTTCCTTAAAGATCAATCAACATAAACTAAAACCCAGGCAAAAGTTCTCACCTTTTTAAGGCCAAGTGTGGTGGTACACACCTGTAATCCCAGCACTTGGGAGGCTGAGGCAGGATTGCCATGAGTTCAAGGCCAGCCTGGGTCCCACAGTAAATTCAAGGCCAGCCTGAACTACATAGTGGGAACCTGTCTTAAAAAAAAAAAAGAAAAGAAAGAAAGTTCTTACCTGTTTAGTAACAGCATTTATGTCCCCTAGCAGAGTCACAGCAGGCTTTACATTATTTCCTAATTCTTCTGCACAGATATCAATCTATAAAAGAGAAAAGGCTAAAGAACAAACTATGTTTACTCTTAAAAATCTTTAAGAAGTCAATTAGAGTTGAATAAATGAGCTGTGTATATTTAACATAATAAAAAGGATTTGATATTCAAGAAGTTCTTTAATAAAAGTAAAAACCCATACAACTATCAATACTAAGGCTGGTGTAGAGAACCTCATGATCTTCCCTCATTTAAAATTTACTTTCTGGAATTTTGGTATCATATCATTACACTCTCAGGAATGCATGTGACCTGATCAATTATAGTTCTGAATATAACTAATAGGGTCCTACTGATTACATTTGTAATTCCTATGAAGAATAGGAGTTCTCAAATTTGAGCACACATCAGAGGCACCTAGTGGGCTTGTTAAACCCACATAGTGGAGGTGTCTCACTCAGATTCTGACCTCAGCAGCATTTGCAATGGTTCTCAGGTGATGCTGATGCAGGAAGCCCCGAGACCTTACTTTAAGGACCACCTCCAAAGCATGGCATGGTTAGTTCCCCATGTACTCAGAAGTTCCACACGTGGCCAAGTGAAAATGGCTTCCGCAAGGAGGAATAATTTGCCCACCCTAAAGGGAGTACATTTTAGTCAGTAGTCAAGAAGAGCAGGCTTGGGGATTTAGCTCAGTGGCATTGCGCCTGCCTCACAAGTGCAAGGTCCTAAATTCTATCCCTAGTACTGCAAAAAAAAAAAAGAGAGAGAAGGAGGTGGCAGCATCTTCCAGGCACAACCCACAATCTTGCTTGTGTTTTTTAGTTCTCAATGGCCCCATGTGAGAAAGGGACTATCAGAAGTCAACTATCAGAAGTAAACGGCAGAATGGGAATAGACAGCAATTGCAGCTAAGTCACCAAACCCCAATGGAACGCGGCCAATCTGCATAGGGTAACAGGGCTGCATGTCAATATATAGGTAGGCACTTCCCACAGTATGGAAAATAGCTTATAAAGATGGTCATGATGATAGAAGAGACATCAAAACTAGGTCAGAATATTCTCCAGTTACTCTGTTTTATGATATAGGTGAAGAGAAACTTAAAAGTTTAGCAATTTCCAACTAATAGTGAAAGAAAGTTTTGGCATTAAAAGAAAAACTCTGTAACAATGTGAATATTTCATTTTAATCTACCATCCTACTTAAATTTCTTTTCTGTACTTTTAAATATACATGAACTGTGAAGAAGAGATGAATTATGTTTTCAAACTATTCAAATCTTAATTTGGAAAGGTTTTCTGGTTAGAAGTACAATGGCACATTATGTTCTCTAGGATTAAAGTAAACTTACTTTGTGGTTTCTATAACTGCATTACACAATTTATAAACCTATTATTATAAAAAAGTGAAAAGGTTTTTTACAAAAGCCAAGAAGTAGAGCCAATAATGGCTAAAAAGGAGAAAAATGAACCACAGAGAGATGTGATTTAAAATCTCTCCTAAGTACCTGGATAAACTTCACATCTGGCTGATATCTTGGAGGCAGTCCAAAATGTAAAATCCAATTTAGTCTGGCACCAAATAAGACTATCACATCAGCAAACTGCAAAGCTCTATTTAAAAAAACAAAATAAAACAAAAAACTGATGTAACATAAAAGTAAATGTAAAATATTCAAATATTCTACTATTTGGATTGGCCTAAAATTGATTTTACAAGTAGTTAATTCTAATTTGGAGCTTATATTATACTTGCAAATTTAGCTTCTGGGTAAATTTGGTCTTTCAAAACAAAAATAATTTATAAAACCATTATATTTAAATAGTAATATATATTGTATATATACTCTATTCCATTTATTACTTTTTATCAGGCTGAGGATTTAGCTCAGTGGCACTGTGCCTGCATGCCAAGTGCAAGGTCCTCAGTTTGAAGTTTGATTCTCAATACGAAAAAAAAAATTAATACCTTTTATCATTAGAAAAATTAATGTAATCCCCAATACAAAAAAAAAGGAAAAAGAAAAATTAATGTTAAGTCTATTGCAGATGATCTAAAAAATGTATAAAGAAAAAGTTAAAACAACCCCAAATACTATCAATTTGTAAACAAAAATGTTGGCATATTTCCATCTAGTCTTTTTTTCTATTCAAATATATTTTGACATAATTGAGCTTATTTATATAGTATACTATTTCATGTGCTTTTGCTATCATTAAATCATCTATTACTGTTATCATTAAATTCTTAAATACAATTACTGAAGGCTACACATTTGGCTGACTCTACTTTCTTTATATAGTCAGAATTTATTAAATGCTTTGTTTTCAGTTGCTGGGTATTTTCATTATTATTAATAGTACTTCTTTACACATCAATCCTCTCTACTCTCTCTTCCTTTTCCTGCAATGCTGGGGATGAACCCAGGACCTTGTTCCTGCTAGGCAAGTGCTCTGTCACTGCTTGAATCTTAATGCATACTTCACATTGACTCCTGGATTTTTTCTTCTTTAAAGAGCATTAATTCATATGCTTGAATTATGAATTCATATGCCTGAATTTAGAATGCTTTCTAAATTATTATACCAAGTTAATTCCTTCCCTTCCTTCCTTCCTTTCTTTTGTGGTACTAGGGATTGAACCTGGGTGCTGTACCACTGAGCTACATCTCTAGCTCTTTTCAGTTTTTTCAGACAGGATATTGTAAAGTTGCCCAGGCTAGTCTTAAATTTGTGATTCTTCTGCCTAAGCCTTAAGCTGGGGTTACCTCTGTGCCTTGCCCAAATGTATTTCTAATAGCTTTAAATATATATACTTCTAATCTTCATTAGATTCTGGCAAATTATTCTAATATAACTTTTCTAATCTTTTAATAATTTTTACTTTGTTATATACTAATATTGACATAGCCATCCTTGCTTTATTTTGCTTACCTCATGTATCTTTGCCCAGTCTTTTCTTTTTTAAGAGTTTTTAAGTTATATGATTTTGTTTCACATGCGGCTGTTATAACACATATAGTTACTATTTTTTGGGGTACCGGGGATCGAACTTGGGTCCTTGAGCTTGTGAGGCAGGCGCTGAACCACTGTGCTAAATCCCCAGCTCACATATAGTTACTATTAATCGAATATGAATGCTTGCCTTTTTCCAGGAGAGTTTATTATCATAATTGTTGTAGGGATTTGCGTTTCATATTTTATCGTTCTGCTTTGTTGACTGACTCCCTTTTTCCCTATCTTTCATCATACAGGATCTGTTTTTATTGTTTTTATCTTCTTGAGTGGTAAATACAATTTTTCACACAAATTTAGTTATCATTTCAAGTACATATTCCAAAAGCATCTCTATTACATACTGCATTAGTCCTTGGAGACTCAATTTTCAAAACAGATAAGTACTACAAATGGTTGGACTGATTAGTTTTTTGATATTCTAAAACCTTTTGAATTATTGATTCCGTTATTTAATACACTATAATCTTTATTATACTATTGATGTCATTAATTTAATGCTCTTAAAATTTGGCTATGATGAAAATAAACTAGAGCTCTGGATGCAGAACTGCATGTGGCAAAAACTCTAAGAGAAACTGTCTTCTTGGCCAGAGGATCAGAAAAAGGGCCTTCACTCCAAGTTGGACAGTGCAGAGCAGCAAGTGCATATATTCTTACTTTTCCTCTCTCCCAGTCTTGTTCTTAGGGTAGCCCTGCTTCAGAGCTGCACTGTGATGGCTCACAAGCAGCTAATGTTAGAGGAGAAATGTTATCTTTCAGGCAAAAGGAACTAGAAAAAGAGGCCCTCTGCTCTAAAACATATGGGAGCAGCCTGGTTTTTTTTCTTCTTCAGTTTGCCGAGCTGTGGCACCCTCAGTAGTAGGGTACTATAAAGCAGCAAAAGCCACAAAAAGGGGCTCCCAGAATCAAAGAGTGAAGCTGGAGAGCCACAGACATCCTAAAGAGAAGAGAAAAAACATTCCCAATCTGGATATGAACCAGCATGTGTCTGGGCTTATCCTTAAGCCAGGCGTATGCAGAAAGACCCAAAGCAGCAAAGCAATGCCTATGAAATTGAACTGACCCTTGAACAACTGTAATAACAGAGAACTTGTGGTCTGAACCCAACCAAACCAAACCTAACTGACTGCTTAGTAAAACAAACAAATGATCCCATATCTTATAACATAATATTAAAGTATTCAGGATACAATCCAAAATTATGCCAGGTGCAATAATGGTGGCATATGCCTATAATCCCACTACTCAAGAAACTGAGACAGGAGGATCACAACTCTATGGCCAGCCTGGACATCTTAGCAAGAGCATATCTAGGGGATATAGCTCAGTGGTACAGAATCCCTGGGTTCAATCCCCAGTATACAAAAAAAAAAGCTCCAAAATTACTCAGCACAGAAAAATCTGACCAACCCTAAAAAACAACAACAAAAGCAAGCAGGTGTTAATCTGAGATGTTCCAGGTGTTAGAATACCAAAATGAAAACTTTAAAGCAGCTATTATGACAAACTTTCATAAAGGAAAGAAAAATATTCTTGAAATAAATCTAAAGGTAGAAGTTGTAAGCAAAGAAACAGAAAATTTAAGAGACAAAAGGATTGAAAAGAAATTACCAGATATTCAGGGAACTGTGGATAATGTCAAAATATGCAATAGTTGTATCACTAGAGTTCCAGGAGAAGGGAGATTGGTAGAAAAAAATTTGAAGAAATAATGGTGAAAATCTTTCCAAATTGAGAGAAAGAAAGAAATTTACAGATCCAAAAAACTGTAAGAACTCCAAAAGGATTAAACAAAAGCAAACCATTTCTAAAAACATCATAATTAACTACTGAAAGATAAAGAAAAATACTTAAAACAGTCAGAGAAAACAATATATTAAATACAAAAGAACAATGACTCAAATGACTGCAAATTTCTCATCTAAAACGATGAGGGCCAAAAGAAAGTTCATAACAGCTCTTAATTGCTAAAAAGTAAAAACAAACAGATGGGCTTAGAATTACATCATTCTTTCAGATTGTTTCTCTAGATTCAGCCAGTAGTCACAAAATAAATGTACCTTAAAATCTACCAAGTGACGCTATTTAAAATCTGAAATGCCACACACCTGGATCTGGCTGCGCTTACACAGTTTGCATGGTTGTCAGGGACAACACCCTTGCCCATAGGAGTGGGCAAAAACGGCAATTTACAGTGCTCCACCAATTTCCTGATATTTTCCTCTGCATGTGCATAAGCAGCACCTAAAAGAAATGCAAATGTATTGAACAAGTCAGTTAAGTTTGGCACTAGAACCCTAAAAATAGCTCATGTGAAACTGCTTTTTGATTTCACATATTCTCCTATTTATACATGGCCTTAAACACAAAATAAACTGGGCTGTGGATTTTATCATTGGTATTTAAATATGCTTAAGAAAACAATAATTCTAATGTCCCCTCAATAATATTCTCAATTATTCTGAACAAGGTCTAACCCTAAACAAAATTGACATTTTGCATCTCTTTCTGTTGTCCCTTACCTTCTATGCTTCACGCTTGCGAACTACTTACTACCCATAATTCTCAACATACTTTCTTTACTGAGAGGTCTAAGTAGGCAAGGAAGAATTTTGCTCTGAGAAAGACTGCCCCTACCTTCCATCCATCCCTAGCCATCCATCACTAGCAAACCTGTTCTGCAGAATCCACTAGTCTTAAAAGGCAACATTTCTACAGCTTCACAGATCTCTCTATAGGTTCTACATGCCAGGAATGGTGGCACATGCCTGTAATCCCAGCACTTGGGAGGCTGAGGCAGGAGGACTGCTGTGAGATTATAGGCCAGCCTGGGTTACACAGTAAGTTTAAGATCAGTCTAAACTACATGGTGAGACCCTATCTCAAAAAAAAAAAGGTTCTACAATTCTGTGACACCTCATCAATGTTTTCTATAATTCCCGCCTCAACATAAGCCTCATCAAACGTTTGTTAAAGAATGAAAACTGGCATCCGAGTGGTTCCCACATACACTATTTAATATACCCTACTGAAGTAGTTAATATTTCTGTTTACCAGTGGGGTCCTGATACCCAAAACAGTTGTTTATCGAAGTCACAAAGTTAATACATCCCCTTCATGCAGTAAATTCACCTCTGACCTAATTTTTTTCCTGTTGTTGACTATTAAAAAAAAACAAACAAACAAACAAAAAAAAATAGCCATCATTTGTATGTAGTAAGTTCTAAGTAGTTGATAACCTGATTAGTATGATCATAGGTGATCCCAACAGCCTCAGTTCTAAAACACAAAATGGATACAAGAATAACTGCTGACAGTATAAACTGTTTTGTACAACACCTCAGGAGAAAGTAATCTTAAGTTATCTCTTAACTTAATTAATACTCCTTATGGGGTCTATTTTAAATCCCAAATATAGGGCCAGGGATGTAGCTCAGTGACACCATGTCTACCTGGCAAGTGCAAGGTCCTGATTTCAATTCCCAGTACAGGGAGAAAAAAATCCTAAATATAGATAAAGCTTGAGACACAAACATATCTGTCATAGCTGCTATAAACAAAAACAATATTTGCTAGTAAAGTGTTAATGTATACCTGGTAGCTACTAAAAACTGTATTTAGGAAGTAATTTTAAAATGATGAAAAAATATTATAATATTAAATGACTAAATTAGAATATTAAACTGTCTACCTAGTATGATCACAATAAAAAACATGTATGAAAAAAGGAATAGAAAAATAATAAATGTTAAAAATAGTTTTCTTGGATGAAGAGATTTCTTCTTCCTACTTTTCTAAATTTTCCAACTTAGAGAGAAGCACTGGAGACTTAATCCAGAGCCTTTGCTATATTTCCAGCGCTTTCTTTTTTATTTTTGAGACAGGGTCTTTCTAAGTCACTAAGTTGTCCCAGCTGGGCTTGAACTTGTGACTCTACTGCCACATCCTTCAAAATTTAAGTCTCAGGCCTAGGATTTAGCTCAGTGATTCAGTTGTCTGCCTTGCAAGTGCAAGGTTCCGAGTTCAATCCCTGGTACCAAAAACAAAAGACCCAAAATTTAAGACTCAAAGGCAGGAGATATTTCCTTAAAAGACTAAGAACTCTAGGCATCTAAGGACAATTCCATGATTGAAAACCAACGAAATAAGATGGATGAAGAATATTCTTGCTCCAATCATGAAAACAATTTCTAAAAAGTATCAGCAGTCTTTCAAAAGCCAAGGAGGACTGAAGAGTTCTACTCAATCCTACCTTTCCCAATAACAAGAAGGGGCTGCTTGGCACTCCTAATAACAGATGCTGCCAGACAAACAGCAGAGGCTTCTGCCATGCTAATAGGAGGTGGCATGCAGCACTCTTTATACCTAGGAAAAAAGAGCTCTGTTAATCAAGAGATCAACTCTAAAATTTTTTACTATGAAAATTTCAAATATATAAACAGGTAGGAAAAGTAGTATGATAACTAAATACTCACCATGTAGATTCAACAATAGCATTTTGCATTTGTTTTACATGCATGCATGCATGCACACACACACAATTTTTTCCCTAAATCATTTTAAGTCAATTACAGATACTCATCCTTAAAAACTCCTGAGGCAGCTCTAACACAAAAGGAACTTCTTTTATACCACCACAATACACTTATCACATCTGGTAAATTAACAATCCTTCCCTAATATTATCTGCCAGCCAGTCAGACGGGTAATTCACTGAGAGGAATTTTTTTTTTTTTTTTTTTGTAGTAGTGGTAGTTGCTATAACATTAAACCATATTAAGGGCTGGGGATTTATTTATTTATTTATTTTGGGGGGAAGGGGATCGAACTTGGGTCCTTGCGCCTCAAAGGTAGGATCGAGTAGAACTCCAGTCCTCCTTGGCTTTTGAGACTGTTGATACTTTTTAGAAATTGTTTTCATAATTGGAGCAAGAATATTGTTCATCCATTTTATTTTGTTAGTTTTAATCAAAGAATTATCCATAGATGCCCAGAGATCTTACTCTTTTAAGGAAAATATCTCCTACCTTTGAAACTTTAATTTTGGGTCCTTTTTTTGATACCAGGGATGGAACTCGGGACCTTGCACTTGCAAGGTAGGCCACAGAATCACTGAGCTAAATCTCTGGCGCCTGCCTTGTAAGCACAAGGACCTGAATTCATTCCCTAGTACCAAAAACAAAAACAAACAAACAAACAAACATACTAAAAGCTAATAGTTAATATTATGTGCCACTTATTTATTTTGAAAACAATGAGACTATTTTAATTTCACCACTGAGGAAAAGACACTCAGCAGAAATTAACTTGCTGAAGACAAGCATGGGACAGAGACTGCACTGAACCAGTTATTCCGTCTCCAAAGTCTATGCTTGTAACCACTTCACTATTTCACTCACTATTCATTATTTCCACTTACTGTGTGAGTTAATACTACAGTATCACAATATGCATTAGTAAAGGAACTATTAAAACTGTCACAGTTAAGTATTTCTGGATAGTAATTCCTCACTATGGTATTTCATTTATTTTATTTTTTTGGTATTGGAGAGTGATCTCAGGACCTTGTGCTTCCAAGGCAGGCGGTGGAACCACTGAGCTAAATCCCGGTCCTTTCATTTATTTATTTATGTATGTATGTATGTTTTGGTACCAGGGAATGAACTCGGGTCCCTGCACTTGAAAGACAGGTGGCAGAACCACCCCTTTCATTTATTTTAATAAAAATCGTACTGCACAAAATCTGGACATACACTACTACCCAAATACGTGCACATATGATAAGACATTCAATCTTTACAAAAAATACCTGAGGCTCCCTTCCCACCTCAACATTATTTGGATTATCATGTTCAGGTATTTTAAAGAATAAATGTCCTTTCTGTCTGACTTTCCCAAACAGAAATCATTCTTGCATTCAGAGAACCATTTTCATAAGAGCAAAATCCAAAAAAATTATATTTACGAAATAATTTCAGAACAATGAAAAATGTTATGATAATGCCAAATGAATAAGATATGATATGAAACTATATAGTGAGTGTATATGTATGAAAAACAAATAGAAAAAAGTACTATGTGTTACAAATGTCAACCCTTAAATGAAAAAATTTCTTACTATGCATGGAAGCACACACCTCAAACCCCAGCACTCTGAGGCTAAGACAGGAGGATCATAACTTCCAGCTCAGCCTGGCCAACTTAGTGACGTGGCAAGACCCTATCACAAAATAAAAAATAAAAAGAGCTGGAACTGTATCTCAGTGCAAAGGCCCTGGGTTCAATCCACAAATGAAAAAAAAAAAATGTAAAGGTCTGTGGATATAGGTCAATGCAAAGGTCAAGAGTTCAATCTCCACTAACAACCCTCCACCACAGGATTTCTGCTTTCTACTTTTCTGGACTTTTCCAGGATTTTTATAATAGGAAAAATCTACTTTACTCATAAGATCAAAGAAGTACCATCAATAATCCAATGGTCCCCACCAGCAGAAATATACTAAATAGTACCTAGGCTGATGCATGAACCCAAGTACCCCATCCTTCAGGGGTGACTGAGGTATCAGTGAGGAAAGTGTTGCTTGTTTGTTTAATACTTCTCACTTTTTTTTTTTGTTTACACAGGGTCTCCCTATGTAGTCCAGGCTGGGCTCAAAGTCTAGATTCTCCTGCCTCAGCCTCCTGAGTTCTAAAATTACAGGTATGCAACATCACGCTCAGCTTCATTCAGTGTTTATTTAAGAAATAAAGGGACATGAAAAATCATAGAAACGTGTTAGAACATTTTTAAATTAAAGAGATAGCTAGACTAATATTTTTATGCTGAGTCCTAATAACTTTTCAATAATTACTTCATCTCTTTGCTTATACTAACACTGTCAACAACCCATTAACTGCATTAATGGGTATATGTATTCGTGGTAACTGGTGGAATAATTTCAAATGAGGAATTCAGTAAACTCTAAGCATTTGATAGAGCCCAAAGTAATTGCTAAAAACCATTTTAATTAACAAAATTAAGCTCTTAGGCTAGGATTCAGTAATTATTAAATCATCAAGTTAAGATAAATGGAGATTAATTTATAAACTGCTAGGTAATTCTTTTAAAAACCAGTGTGGTGACACGCCCTTGTAATCCTAGCACTCTGCAGGACTGAGGCAGGTGGAGCACAAGTCTAGGCAATTTAACAACTTAGCCAGACCCTGTCTCCAAATACTAGCTCAGTGCAAAGGCCCGGAGTTCAATCCCTAATATTATAAAAAAAAAAAAAAAGAAGAAGAAGAAGAAGGCACCATGATCACACAATTAGGACTGCAAATAACTATTACTCACTTTATAGAGTTCATATTCACCTCGAGGGTCACAAAATCTGCAGGTATATCAATATAACAAGCACCTGGACGACCATAGATACTGATTCTCATTGCCTGTATTTATTACAGATAGAAGAAAAGACATTAAAATCTCAATTTTTATTATCATATTCCATTTAAAGATACTATTTAACTGTGAAATGAACACTATTTTTTCTAGACATCCTTGGAGGAAAAAAATACTGTAAATTAAAACTGAAAAGTCCGCCATTAAATCTATATATTTTAAAAGGTAAAGTATGTTTGTTTTAAATAGGAGATCAAAAAGTATTCACTGAGGTTTAAAATTCCTGTTCTAAACTGGGCATGGTGGTGCACACCTCTAATTCCAGAATTCTGGGAGGATTGCACATTTCAGCCCAGGCTGGGCAATGGATATAGTGACTTATCAAGACCCTGTCTTGAAATTTAAAAAGCGCTGGGAATGCAGCTCAGTAGAAAGGCCCTGGGTTCAAAACTGTATAACTCCCACCCTATGCATATTCTATTACATACAGTATTAGCCTTGGAAACTATTCCCTAGTCTTTGCTTACCAAGTTTTACACTGTAATATGAACTTTCACCTGTTTCCTGATTCTGATTTGGCAAAGATTTCAGGAACTGGGATGTCAGTATGTGTCTAATCACTTTTATTATGGTTTTTGAAATGGCTCAAATATAATTTCACATACTAATGCTCGACAGCTAAAATTAATTTACTATGTATTGTTTAACTAAGAAATGATCTTATATGCATTAATCTCAACTTTTAAAACTAATTTTTTTGCAAAAACGTAAGAGTACCCAGGAATTTAAACCTTTACTTTAGTATAACTGAAACTTACTTTTACCTGTGTTTATATAACTAAATATAGCAGGACTGAATATTAAAATGTAAATAGCTTTTTAACCATGTCATTTTAACAGTCTGGGTAAATTCCTAATTGTCACTTAATCTAGTAAGGATAGAAATAACAGTGCTTTTTTAAAAAAATCACAATGCTAGAAGTATAGCTCACTGATAGAGTATGTATTTAGCCTTGGTGAGGACCTGAGTTCAATCCCAAGGACAGCTTGTTAAATACCACACCTTTTCAATGACAGAGGGAATAGCTTCTATGCTGGGTGGCCGAGCAGAGAACTTGCTATATAATCTACAAGCTTCAACCTATACAGAAAAATGAAAATCATTTAAAATTAGGCTCACAGTCATATTACTCTGAAGGAAGACAAAATATTAAATCATTACTTTCTATTACATTTAGAGGTCAGATGGGGAAAATTATTTAGAATGTCTCCTGAAAGCTGGGCATGGTGGCATATGCCTGTAAATCCAGCATTCAGGAGGCTGAGACAGGAGGACTGCCATGAAGTCAAGGCCAGCTTGGGTTAAACAGTCAGTTTAAGGATGGCTTGAACTACAGAGTGAGACCCTGTCTATTGAAATAATAAATTTCTGTATCAGTATGATTCAGGAAAAGAGACACCATTTTTAGTTTTCAGATTAACAAAGAGAAAGCATTGTCAGCCACAGCACAGGAAAACAGGCACTCTCATAAACTGCTGGTGAGAGTGTAAATGGATAGGGGAACTAACAAAATGTCTAAAAGAAGTCTTAAGGAGAGTATTACTAAACCCAGTAATTCCACAGCTTCAGTGATCTTTTTCCTCAGTTTTTAATTCAATTGTATAAATTGCTATTATTTTCCTTTTCAGAGAAAATACTTGTTTTTTTTCATTACTATCTACAATCAACTAAGTAAAACTTCTGTTCTCTTTCAAGGACATAAAATTGTAACTTTTACATGAACTTATACCAGAGTCTGCTATTCTGTATTCATTAATCACAGGTAAAAGTCTGTTTGTGGCTGTGGGTGTAGCTCACTGGTAGAGTACTGCCTAGGATAAGTAAAACTCTGGGTTGGAAACTTAGCAACACATGAAGGAAATCTTTTATATTTTTGAAGTGCTCATAGTAATTCCTGGTTTACCAACAGACTTTGTCAATAGTTTTAACCTTGCTCTTAACCTTGTCCCACAAATGCTCAAATAAACTGGGTGTGGTGGCGCAAATCTGTAATCCCAGCACGTGGGAGACTGGGACAGGAGGATCACCAAAAGTTCATGGCCAGCCTCAACAACACGGTGAGTTCGAGGCCAACCTGAACTACACGGCAAGACCCTGTCTCAAAAAGCTGAAAACAAAGCAAAATGCTCAATTATGTTTATTTTGTGTCATTTATTCTCACTTATTTGCTTTTCACAGCTATTCTTAAAACTATTTTATTTATTTGTGTATATTCATTGTATTACCCAGGGCCTTCACAACGAACTATATTCTTAGCCTTTTGTTTTCCTTTCTTTCAACTTGTTATTTTTATTTAATTTGATATAAGATCTCACTAAGTTTTTTTGGGGGGTATTGGGGATCAAACTCGGGCCCTTGAGCTTGTGAGGCAGGTGGCAGCACACTGAGCTAAATCCCCGGCCCTTTTGTTTTTCAATTTTTTGTGAGACAAGCTGCAGTTCTCGAACCTCCTGTCTCAGTCTCACAGTGTGGGGAGCACAGGCATATGCCACCACACCCAGAAAAACTGTAATATTTTTTTGACAAATTCTGTCAAGTTTCTTTTACTTCTTAAACACTTCCTTCCCCTTATAAAATAAAAATAAACCCAGAATCTACCAATAATCATTTTGAATAGGATTTTTCTTCTCAGCTTTTTATTTCCATAACATCCGGGAGGCACAGTGCAAAGTCATTTTTCTACTCACCTAAACCTCATATTCAGCTATTTTAGCACTGTATTTGATAGTATATATATCTTTTGTTTATTTTTATTTGATTTTTTTTTTTTTGGAAACATGGTCTTGCTATGTAATCCAGGCTATTCTTGAATATATTGTGCAGCCCAGGCTGGCCTCAAACTTCCTCTCTCAGCCTCCCATGCTGGGGTTACATGCATGCACTGGCTTCTAAAGTCACTTTTATTGCTACATTTTCATGGCTCTGAGAAGAAATCCTGTCAATTTTGGCACATTTCTTGAAAGCCCGACATAAGTAAGGCAGCCCCTTCTTACTATCCACCCTGAGATTGTCTTTTTCAGAAGAATTATCAATAAAGTACTTCAGGTACCTCTAACATATTTAAAAATTGTTTTCAGACAATTTTTTCCCCTAGTACGAGGGATTAAACTCAGGACTTTGCATTTGCAGGCAGGTACTGTGTCACTGAGCTATATCCCCGGCCGCTCAGAAAATAATTTTAAAACTCCTGTCCATAACCTTAAAATACTAGATACCTGAGGAAACTCCTGAAAGGCTCCCAATGTTTCTTGATTTCTTTCAGAGGAACCACCAATCACAATCAGGGGCCTGAAATAATTTTTAAGAAAAAAATTACAAAGGATATCACGTATAATGCTCAGCAAAGTGCCCAAAGCAAAAGAAACAACTCAATAAATGTTAAACAGAGACAGAAACAAACAGACCTACAAAGAGACTACCTTATGTCCTTCCCTAAGAACTAAATTAAAAATTACTTAGGATACAACGTGATGTGGGAACCTTTCCACAATTTAAAAAAGAAGCAAAATTTATTTCAAATGTTCACCCTTATCTCCATCTCAATCTTTCTGGATGCTGAAGCTAGATGTCTAGATGTAGTGATACAAAATTAATTTTCATGCCCTTCTCTTATTCTTAGGATATGGGGAAAAGATATTTTATACTTTCTTAAATAAATCTATTTTGAAATAGCAAAATAAGTAACATTTCTGAGCAATAAAACTTTTATCCCTCAAGGTGAAGGGAAAAAAAAAAAAGGAAAAGAAAAAGAAGCACATAGCAAACCTAAAAGTCCTCAAAATAAATTTCACCCTGGCCAGGGATTTAGCTCAGTGGTGCCGACACCTGCCTCACAAGCCAAAGGTCCTAAGTTCAATCGCCAGTACCAAAAAAAAAAAAAAAAAACTCACCCTAAAGTAGATAAGGAAGAGAAAAACAAGGAGGGAAGAAAATAAACAAACAAAACTGTAAGAAACATGGGGCAAGAAAGACAACAATAGCATTCCCACGAAGAAGTTTAAATGTTATTACTGATGAGAACATAACCCTTCAACCTGATCTTACATGCAGAAGGAAATGAAAATGTTGTATTTATCTCTAAAGAAATTAGAAGTGTTCTTATTTTCCCCCTAATAATCCTTTTAATATATCATATACATATATATATATATATATATATATATATGTATATTCAAGGTATACAACATAATGTTTTGGTATCCATAAACATAGTGAAGTGACTGCTACAGGTAAGCAAATTAACTGAGTGTGTTAACTATATCTAAAATCTATTTTTAAAGCAAATTTCCAATCTTACTCTTCAAATATACAATATATTCTTCCTCATGCTGTACACTACAACTCTAGACTTATTCTACATAACTGAAACTTCCTAACCCCTAACATTCACCTCCCCTGTCCTTCCCCCAGACTCTACCTACCTGCATGTTAATCACCTCTCTACTCTGTTTCTAAGAACTAGAGGTTTTTCCCCTGATTCTTTCCACCCCTGATCAGTTCTACTCAGTAAGATTAAGCAGGGACATTTTAAGAAAATATTCTCAGTAATAATAATTTGATTACCAACAGTTCATGTTTGCATTAGCCATACCAGCCAAGGCATGGGTGAGACCTGGGCCAGAAACAACGAGGCACACTCCTGGCCTAGAAGTAAAACAGAACTTATGTTACTGAAAGCAGATCAAATTTAACAACTGAACAAATGGAATAAGCCCCAGCAATCTCATTTTTGAACCAAGCATTTTTGGTTCACATCAACAACTAACTCAAATCACTTTAGGGTGAAACATGGCAACCTTCTTGGACTTCAAAGAAAGGCCATACAGGTGTTTACTGAAATTGGTAAAAAAAATTATTAGAGCTCTTTTTTTTTGGACCACGGACTGATGAACTTAGGACCTTGTGCTTGCCAGGCAGGCAATGTGCAGCCAAGCTAAATCCTCGGCCCCATTAGAATACTTTTAATAAAAAAACAAAAGGAAGATTATATCAGTCTTCTTATATGAATAAGGAACCCATTTTTTCTACATTGTATTTTACACCCTTTTCATATGTTGCTATTATTACATTTGGTCTAAAACAAGTTGACTACATACAGAAGTGAATTTTTGACAATTGAGTACTTTTTGTATGGAAAAAATTTTTTTCATTTCTTAACAGATAAAATCAACTGGTCTTTGACAATAATTCCAAAAGCAATGTTCTTCACCAAATCTTTTTAATTGAATGCTTTCCCCTACCTATGTCTTTTGAAAGCTTGAAGCATTCAAAAAGGTACTGCCATATAATTCAGTTTGACCCTTACCATTTACAATTTCTGAAGAATATTTAAGACAGGCTTTAACAATGAATTAACTTAATTACCACCAAAAATTAAACTTCTACACAGTACTCTCAGCAAGCAGTAGAAATGTTCTCCTTCTGCAGTCTGAAAGTGCTTAAAACATGACAACTAAAACAAGGAACTATACCTATTGAGCATTTGAAATGTGACAACTAAAGTGAGGAATTATAGTTTAAATGTTAGTTTTAATTAATTTCAATGTAAATAGCTTCATATGGCTAGTCACTATTATACTGCATAGTACAGTTCTAGAAGTTCATTCAAATAATAAAATTTTTTAACATATAAACTTTTGATATCCCCTAATCATCATTCTGGCACTTTTTCAATTAAAGCATCAAGGAATCTGTTATTTAAATGCTTTCTAGGCTAAACAAAAATATGAAAATATTGTTCATATTTAAATAACATGAAGAAAATGGTAAAGATAACTATTTTTTGGACAGCTTATTTTCCTCAGGCTCACAATGAGAAGATTCCTATCAAAGCAGGATACCCTGCTGACTTCTAGACTTTGAGACTATATTTATTTATAATTCTTAGCAATTTAATTACTAATTTTATTTTTGGAAACATAAAATTACTAAAACTATCAACATAAGTTTAGAAAAGTATGATACAAATTATACTGGGAGTCCAAATTGTTTTTAAAAATGTGTGTCAATAGTAAAAAATTGGACAGAAATAAGACAAATTCTTAATAGCTATAGTTTTACAGGTGATTTCAGTTTTCTTCCCTATACCATTCTGTATTTTCCAAAAGGGGGCATTTTTTAAAAAGTATTAATTACTATCACTTTGGCTGAGATAATGTCTCAGTATGTAGCTCAACCTGGCCTCAAACTTGTTATGTAATCCAACCTGACCTTGAATTCTTGATCCTCCTGTTGTTAGCCTGAGTGCTGGGCTTACAGGTATGCGGTACCATGCTCAGGTTAAAAAAAAAAAAAAAAAGTATTCATTTTTAGTCATAAATGAGGAATGGGTAGGTAGGTAACATGGATACATACTAAAAAATCTGAACAAATAAAACAAGCCCCAACAATCTCATTTTTGAATCGAGCATTTTTGTATTGGGTGGGCTGGGGCGTTTAGGACATCCAAGACAAGGTCTAACTCATCAGCTCACTAGGAATCACCAGTGATTCATTCTGCAAAATGGCAGTATGTCCCCCCCAATACACTTTTTTGGTATTGTCATCCTTTTGATCTGACCCTCAAAGAGTTCTAAATTTATTTTTCTTTAGTACTATCATCTATACTCTTCAAATCAACTAATCTTTCATCTGAAAGATATAATAGTTCTATCCAAATATATTCAGTAGCTGAAATATAATAGACTTGAGTTTACCTGCCAGTCAGATATCCAACTGCAGAGGCAGCATAAGAAGCCTACAAAGAAAGAACATTTAGGAATTAAGCATATTGGGGTCCTTACAGTGTAACCATGAGAAAACTTAGTATTTAGAGATTAGAATTTAAACAAAACAAAAATGTCCCTTCCAATTCTGACACTTAGACTTGGCAAGGTACAATATAACACAGTAGTAGTATAGCAAGGACTCATAACCAGAATACCTGAGTTCAAATTCTGGCTCTTTTATTACCGAGTCATGGAGCAAATTTTACTTAATCTCTCTGCCACTCACTTTTCTCATCCGTGAACTAGGATAAGCACCAGATGAAGTATCAATAGAGATTCATGGGTGCAAAGTATTAGAGAGTAGTAAGCGCTGGGTATCTGCAATGAGTGACTGGCGCTATTACAGATCATTCCCAGTAATGTCCTCGGCCATACTCACCGCCTGCTCGTTCCTCATCCCGATGTACCTGATGCCCAGCTCCTGGGCGGCAAGGGCGATTTCGGTCACCGGGATGCCCACGACGCCAAACATGTACTGCACATCCTAGGGGCCGAAGAGAAGGAATACACGC